GTCCTCACAGACCCAACCACCACTACCACAAGGCGACAAGCGAAGAGCCATCTGTCAACGGAGACGTTTTATGTTGAACCTTGAACACCGGTGCGGTGGGTTTGGACCAAGAATTTCTGGTGTGAGATCAAAATGTATTCCCAAAGACCACACGAGTAAAACATAACTCCGAGAGGAGTGGCCTTTTGAACATAGAGAATCAAGTAACAGGATTATTTAAGAAATAAAATGAGAGAATAGGTTGAGTTTATGGCTGTGTGGTGTCGTTGGGGGAGGCACAAAATCCGTTGCATTTCGCGGGAAGGTCGCGCTCGGCAAAGAGAGTGTAGCCCCTGGAACGAACCACCATCCGGTACTTGTAGTACTCGGCGTAACGCATCAGCCACGAAGGCCTCCAGCCGGCGGCGTCGTCGGCGGAGAGCTCGCTCCGCAACACCGCCTGGAGCTTCTCCGCTGGGAGCATGTCTGCAAGCGTGGAAGTCAATCGGTAAACCCACATCTTACCAAATTAAACCAGAATTAGGCAATTTTAACCTCGCAGTGTGCCTGTGTGACTCAAAAGCAACGTTTTGTGCGGATGCAGGTACAGGAAAGGCAGACGGCACATGGCATCACTGCCACTTACCAGCAGAATCGTGATGTGTCAAGAGCTGAATATCGTGCTGCTTCGCGAAATTCTCCAGGTCTTCGCCGAGCAGATACGAGCTGCCTATAAATACTTGATTCACCTTGGGCGGCGTCTAGATTAGTAACCAAAAAGATGACAACGTAAGATTGGTTCCCCGAAGTCGGCGCCTAGTCTGCAAGTAAACTTAAACAGAACACTGGGATGACGTCAGCGTAATTTGTTAGTAGGGTAGCCTCGTGTGAGGATGAAAATTCGCTGGTGCACGACGGAAAAAACCGAGGCGTCAGCGCAACAGGCTAAGAAATTGGCAGAAGCACCAAAAGACTAGTGGAACGAGGCGCGCATAAAGAGCAGATCCTAAAAAGCCGGAGCCATTTCAAAGCAGAATCCACACAACAATCGGTTGAAGTGGGAAGATGAAGGAAACATCAAAGCAGAAAAAGGTGAAAGGCTTTGTGTTTGAAAAACACAATGTGGAAAGTGGAGCTGTAAATGACGAGCCCCACACGGGAAAAAAAGCTGTGGCGTAGCTACAAACGAGCGAAGCGACCACACTATTACCATGTTTAAACACTCCAAAGTCGAGTCCTGTGATCAAACCGACGCCAAACAAAAGTGGAGCCCTATAAAACGGTTTAGATGGCGTTTCGATGAATACAGAAGCAGGCAAATATCAACAATATTGACTTCAAACACGAGAAAGTTTAGTTGGAAAACACACACGATTGAGTTGAGACAAGGCGCCATAGTTGACAAGTTCACAAGGTGCAGACGACTGCTAACTAACGCGATGTCATTAAAAGGTGAGTGAGAAGAATAAACACGGAGAGAGAAAGCAAGGTGTGGTTGGAAAAAAGAAAGGAAACAGGTGATAAGCTCATCTGTAGTGGCGCACCTTGACCGAAGAGCACAGGGTCTCCATTTCATAGACGGGCATGTCAGTGACGCCCAATCGAAAGACTTTATTTGCCTCCACGAATTCCTCCAAAACAGGCCACACCTTCAAAAGACTGACGGCGGTGCTTTGGGGAACCCTGACCCATGACGAACCGAGACAAGTCGGATGATCGACAACAGCGCCTTGGGAGAGCTCTGGAGACAGCGTGACAATCAACGTCTCAATGTCCTCCAGGCCCAGTCGATTGAGAGCTAAAAAGGCCCACGAGATCATGAACGCGATGACACGGTCCAAACGACTATCGATTTCCTACAAACTGTCGTCAGGGCATACGAATCTACTTGACAAGGTCGGGCTAACGAGGTCATGACCACTCAATTCTTCCCAACCAAACCAATTCAACTCCGTACTTTAGGTAACTTTGTCACAATTTAAGTTTTGTTAGACGTGGATAAAAAACGTGTGCCTCAATGATACAAAATAACTTACTTTTGTTAATAGCTTGGCGAATAGAATCATGGTCATCCGTAAAAAGAAAAAGCTTGGCAGACACAAAGACGCCACTGCGCTCAGACTCTGGAATTTTATCTCTATGCTTATCGCAGGCAATACAAAGTGTTTGAAGATTCTACGAAGAAAACAAAGTGTAATGTATACAGCACCAACTTACTCGTAGGTCTTCATGTCGACAGTTATTCCAACAATGAACCACCGATTTGATGCAAGTTACAACCTTATGAGATTAAAAAACAAACAATAGAATGTAATGAGCACATATACACCAATACAGAAAGCCGTTAAGCAATTTAGCTCAAATTTGATAAAAAGCTTTTTTCTAACACAAAAGCCTGACATGAGTTAGCACTGCAACAATTTTATTAAAGGATTTGAGGATTGCCACAGATGAAATAAACAGCATGATTCCGAATAAGAGCATGGAACACAAAAATATTTTGGTGGAACATGTAGAAAAAATGCTTAGTCACAAAAGGCAGTGTCATGAACGCATTGCTCAATATTTTAATGCAAAACGCTCCTAGAAATATTGTAAAAAGAGGCAGAGATCATTAAATTTATATTAAAATTCAGGCCATTCATACTGACAGCATGTAAAGCTGCTAAGTAAACGTCCACTTATTAATGATTCTATTTAGTACATAGAATCATATGATACAGAAATGGTGAGCTTGTATAGCAACATAACTAACCTCCTCAAATGGATTTTTAATAAGTTGCACATTATTCCACTTGAGGATGTTGCTTGTGTGCAGGAAAAACTCTTTCGCCTGAGGGAATTCAGACATGTTAACTACAACGTGCCAAACACGAAAATGAGGGGATTAAACCTAGCGCGGCCATTTTGGCTTTTAGATTTCGCATGACCACTGAATTGGATGTTTGGAAGCACAGGAGAAATATCAGACTAAACGTTATGTCATAAATTTTAAAATCGTATAGTCAATTTTTTTTATACACTCATTGTGAATGGTAAAGTCCTACTTGAATCTCAAAGGAACCCAAAGTATCTTCTTCAATTCTCCAGGTTTCGGCCTTGTGGACGTTCCTCCAGTAACATGCTTTCAGACAAGTACTTTTGTAACCATTTTGAGTCGACGCTTTAGTGAACGTAAGAGCCATGACATTAATATTAGAGAAAATCGATGAAGACAAATCTGTGAGTCCCTATGAAGAGGACCTCTCTCCCAACTTATTGTGGGCATAAGGTAATCCTTAATTGAGGCAGACACTAAATATCCTAACTAGCGTACTGCAAGACATGTTGTTCCACAGCAACATATTTGGGTAGGCCATATGCACGTTAGCATTCAAATTTGCTGATTTTTCTTCTTTTAACTTTATGCGATGTTTCTTTCACTTTTCACCAAATAAAAAACCTAATTAAATCAGCCATCCAAAAGTAGACAAAAAATAGCTCAATTTCACTTTAAAATTTGCCCTCATTTAGAAATTAGTCTTAGTCAACACTCTGGTCTATGTAATTTCACTCATTTAACCCCTTTGTAATAATGGTACTTTAGAGCGTAAAGTATAGAGATTAATGCTTTGCCATAGGTAACTTAGCCATTCACACCCTGCTACCCCAGTTATTGAACGGAAGATAAAAAATTGATGGAGTCACCTGTGTTACGCTCGTCTTTACCTTTTCAAATGACATCAATAACTGCAACAGAAAAGATTATTCAAAATCAGTAAAACGAATGGGCTGCGAGAAAGATCTGCAGCCAACCAAAGATAATGACGAGTGGGAAGAACTAAATAATAGGCGGCACAGCTATCGTCGAGAGCTGGATGGACGGTGCCTAATGTACGGTTTTGGTTTGTGATTGGTCATAAAGTCTGTTCTATTGAACTTGCCTTTTTCACACTAGGGCTCGGGTATTTACAGCTTAATATTGGCAACCAATTATCAATAACCACACCCTGTATTTTTATTATAACTACGGCAGAAGTCATAATCGTTCATGTTGTAACCCACAGCATTCGACCCACGCACGTCGGTCTGGCTTGTTCTTTATCCTCCTCATCCCTCCCGCAATTTCGCCTTTCTCAAGGCACGCCCGTTAGTCTGGGGGGCAGCGTCGACCTTCCTCATGGCCGTCCCCTTCCTGCTACAGCCCTTTCGCTCTAAATTTGCATGCGGTGGTCTGGAATACATTCAGTTCTTTCTGTTACTCTTCTGTTGTGTGCCTGATAGCTAACCCTGGTGGTGTGGCTATATAAGAGGGACTGGCCAACTGTTATTTACCTATTTATTTTCCTACCCGTTAGGCGCGTTACAAGGTTGTTACGTTTAGGCACGCATAAAGAGCGTGTTGTCTGCAAATATTTCAATTATATCATCCCGGAAGTAGTACACCTGTGTCAAGATGAAATGGACTCACTAGTAGACACGATGTTTAATGTAATCGTCCAGTGTTAGTGCAGCATTACGGATATTTTTAATTGAAACGATGCCAGGCCCAGCCGCATAACCGTCACTCACCAAGCAATTCAAAAAAAAGTGTCACATAGCATTAGGCAACATTCATCGTAAGATCGTCAAAAATGCTTTAAAAAATGCCATAAATCCCTCATTATGTACTTCGATGTGTTTAATGGTTTTCATTTAAGTAAAAAATGGATCTACCCAACTTTGTGCAAATTATCCTAAGTTTTTTTGAGATGACAGGAAGACACATTTTTTCATTTAACGCAACCTTGACTAAAAATCAAGCCCTTTTAAAGTTGAGATTAACCCAACCGGATGTTCTAATGATAGATTTTATAGCCAATTCTAGGCAATACAGATTCGATACAATGCCATTTGAACCAAATGTGCCCTAACATTCATTCAGAAGTTACCGATGACCGTTCCCCGTGGTCCCATACTGAAGTAATGTCACGAGGACATAAGAGATGTGTTTATTCACTAAAATGCCTTCAAACATCTTAGCTGTGACCTCAGTGTACTTCTTACAGATTCCGTCTAGTTCCTAAGCCATCTCTTATCAAAAGATAGTATTCAAACCGACCCAGTTAAATCTACAAAGACCTGGAATTGAATGACCCCTTCTAACGTGAACAATCTTTGTGATTTGCTCAGGCTTGCGACATGCCACAAGGTACGTGTCAAGGGCTCTGGAATTATAGTTTTGCCACATCACAAGCTGTTTTAGAAAATGAGCCGCTGGTGTTGGACATAAAAGGCCAGCCTACGTTTGGTGAACTCATGGTCCGGTCGTCCGCTGCTCCGATCCTGTCATGTGTACACCTTGCACGTTAACCCAAATCCTTGAGGTTATCCGTTGGAACATCTGAGTTGGCACGCAGAAGGCTCCCCAGAATAAGAGAAGACTAGAACTTGTGCAAAGGGCTTTACTGTCTGAAGCAAGGGTTTGAGTTGAGTACTTAAAACTGAGTTATGCGTTGATGGTGTGAATGAGGATGTGGCGTGATTGAGTGCGAAAAGATCTTACTGAATGGACTTCAAAAGGCAGTGATAATTTAGTCGTCTTGGGAAATGTAGGCATCCTCATTAATCATCTTTCTTCAATACTAAACGGGGACGCGTCCAATAAATTAATATGAGATTAAGAGCACTGAATACCCTACAGTGTTGGATCGTAGAACCCTATGGAGTGTTAAATAAAAATTGCAGCACCACGAAGGGCAAGATGGGGTCCCTGAAATATGTCCCAGTAAACTATTCCGATACTCAATGATCATCACGTCTTGAGATGGTTGTATAGCTTTAAAACAAACACAAGCGTGATTGATGGCATTAAGCCAATTAGGCTAGGGAAACAATGCCGCCTGGATAAAAAAAGAAAAACTCTGACGCAAAGACTATAATCCCGAACAGTTACAGGTCTTGTCGATTTTTTGGTGAAGCAAATTAAAGCGGAAAAATTGGCAAATTCCTGAGCCGAGGACTTCTGCGTATCTTTAATCTAGGATAGGCAGTTACATTATAGCCCACATCCGATCGATCAAGACTCGTGATTAGTCTAGAATAAGCTTATTTTTGTGATAAGGTGATGTATTAACAGTATGTCTCGACGCATGTTTGTACCGCAGTCTGGAGTGACTAGGCTTGTGGAAAAGATTTACACTAGTTTAAATCATTTAAGCCTTGTTTTACTGGGGTGACATTTCCACTGGCGGTTCTTTGACACTTTGGTACCCGTGGATGTAATCGAGACTCAAAAGTCAGCGATTTACAAACATTTAGGCTTACTGATTTAAAGGAGAACGGATTTCTAGTCAAACCTCTAGCCCTTTTGATAGATATGCAAACGCCCAGGCCAGATCCACCGTCATTGGCTAGTTCAAGTGGCCGTTTTTTGTAGCTGCTGGAGTCAGTTTTCCTTAGGATTGAGGGTCTACTAAATTGAAGTCATGTGAATTGTGCTATCTTTCGGAAACAGTTTAAATTAAAATATATTACTACCTGGTTCCATATCCCACTGATCAAGTTAATCAGAAAGACAATTGGTTGGTGAGCGGGCTCTCAGAAGCACTTTAGGACAACAGGCACCGTGCTATAAGGTAGGATTGAGGACCTCTGCGTATCTTTAATTTAGGGTAGGCAGTCACATTATTGCCCACATCCGATCGATCAAGACTCGTGATTAGTCTAGAATAAACTTGATTTTGTGGTGAGGTGCTGCATTACCAGTACGTCCCTTCGCCACATCGACAAACGGTTGTACCGCAGTCCGGAGTGACTAGGCATTTGGAATAAATTTACACTAGTTTAAGTCATCTAGGTCCCACTCATGTGGAAAAAGTCACAGCCAGAGATATTGGCGACCATCAGTGTGCGAAGTTATTGAGGGCTGTGGCATCGTTCAGCCAGCATCACCCGTCTACCTGTGAGTACGAGGTTCCCGAACGAATTGGAATGAATTGGTCTGACAGGTCGCCTACCAGAAACTTGACATATGCCTTGCCAATTGCAGTAGCTTTAAGTATATGATTTTAATGACAGCACATCACGATGTGTCGTACAGTATCCACACGAACCGTGAGAGTCAATTTCGGTGGCAACTACCTGCTTGAATTGTGTGATCGGATTATTCATTGGTGATGCACC